CAAATCTGCAGAGCCAAGGTAGCTGAGAAATGATTTTGCAGCCTTGGGACAGCAGAACTGTGCCACGTAGGGCCTTACTCTGTGCCTGGCCCAGCACCTCCCGGGTTTTGTTAACACAACGTGCAACTCTCCAGCCTGTGATTAGTCCCAGAGCAAAGTCTTCCAGGCATCCCCAAGATAAAGCCTTCACCTCACATGCAGAGAGCTGCCTGCACACGCAAAGCCTCTTTCAACATATTTTGGAATGCGACCTTGTTGTTTTGCTTCAAGATGACATTGCTGTGACCTCCAGCTCCTCTAAAAAAAGAAAACAGGCAGGGAGGACAGCAAAGACAAGCAGTGTGCTAGCAGCTTGCTGTGATGAAGCCTCCCAGCTGAACCAAAGCAAAGCTTTTTCTTTCTCATTCCATGGAAACAGCCAGTCACCGTGCCTTGATCAGAGATGAAAGCGCAGCATTCAAGCAGGACACACTTTATGGAGTAAAAATAAAAATCCCTTTTTTGATCAGTTCTATTTTTACCGATATAGCCACTGAATGTGGGCTGCGAGACCCACAGCACCATTAACCCCAGCACCTTTGTAATGAGGTCATTCGTTTAAAAATGGTCACCTTCATCAGACCAGTCCCTATTGCCCCAAATTGTCAGCTCTGAACTGTGCTGGCACCAAGTCTGTGCCAACACCCTGCACTGATTTCCCAGGTCTGTATGCCAGGAATCTATACCCAAAGGGTTTAAGGTGCCACTACCTCCACAAACACCTGGCAGGGGTTGAGCAGATGGAACACCACAGTCTTCACCACGAAGCATTTCCAGTCCTTAAAAGAGCAGCAAAATAGGGTAGTGAAAAGGAAAACGATCTCTACAAAGTGTCTACAGGGGAAAAAATGCTACTGAATGCATGGAGCCTTTGACTCGCTAAAGGAACTTTGCAGTCTGCCAGCTGCAAATCTGAAAGGGGGTGGGATGAGCAAATTCTTCTGCATATTAAGTTTATCCAGCACTTTGGGTGAAATTGCTGTCCCATCTGATGGGAGATAGGAGGCAGGGGGACTCATGGTGGGGGCTTGGCTGCTCCATGGACACACTCCTCACAGTGGCATCAACTTGTCCCCTGTCCTGAAGTCACCGTGGGGCCCTGGGTTTGTCCCCACAGGATACAAGCCACTCCTAAGTCAGCCTGGGGAGACACTGGTCCCCAAGCAGTCACAGGGACAGCCAGAGCATCCTTTCCAGGGTGCCCAAAAATGCCTGGTTTGAGGTATTCACAGGAGCTGTCACTTTGCAGGAGAGAAGTGACAGCTACCTCCCTGCTTCTGGGATGGCACTCCATGTCAGCCCACAGCCACGCAGCCATCATCACACCAGGCTGTGGGGTACAGACAGCTCATCCCAGAGGGGACATGGCACATTGCAAGCACCTGCAAGTTCACTGCCTCCTGGGGCAGAAATCCACACTGCTCCTGTGTCCCCAGCTGCCCTATCCTCCCCACAGCACTGGCAGGTTTCAGGGCACGACAAGCTGTGCTCCAGGCAGGCTGTAAGCAGCACATGCCTGCAGGCAGGAGGAAGGGACCCGCACATCACTGGCTTGTCACTGTCACAGGTGTGTTCTCTCCAGCACCATGATGGCAGCGTGCAGCCAGCCCTCAGGCCATGGTGGCAGCCACATGCATTGTGGTGGCACAGGGTGAGCACAGGGGGAGGAGGGGGGGACACTGCTGGCACAGACAGATGTCAGAGTGGGATTTGGGCTCACCACTCATCTTCCTGCAGCAGGAGAAGAAGGGATGGCAAACAATCACCCCACCTGCACTCAGAGGTTTCAAGAAGCAGAAAGAAAAAAAATCCAATACCAAATTTATAAACAAACAAACAGAACAAACATTATTTTTATTGTTTTCCCTCTAAAGTCTAAACACAGCCATGATTCAGCACTATCACAGTGCTGCCTCAAGCAAAAGGAAACAACCAACCTCTCTGCTGCTGTTTGCACCAGGCACCTTGAGGATAAACCCCAAAGTGTGTGTAGAGAGCTCACCAGAAAAGGGCAGAAATGCTGCCAGGACATTGCACAGTCTGCAGAAATGGGCTGCAACATCCCCTCTGCTTAAACATTTCCTTAAACATTTCCACCTGTATTGCAGGAATTGGTACTCTGCAGCTCAGCTACGCTTCTTAAAGCTGCCTGCATCAAGTGATGCTCCAAACCCAATTAAACACCTCATGGGTGTTTGACCAGGTCTGCCACACAAAAAACCCCACAGTGAGTCAACCTTGGCAGGGAATGTCTTAATATTTAATACACCTGACAATTCCCTCTTCACAACATCCTCTTCCTTTGTTCTTTGCTGTGTGCTAATTGGTAAGATGAAGTTTTAATAGGCTGTTTTTTAGCTGCATGCAGGCAGCACAGCACAGCCAGCTCACGCCTCAACCACGCCCACTCACACTGCCCAAATTTCCCCAGGATGCCGAACTCACAGGCCCACAATTCGAGGGAAAGGAGAACTGAACAAACCTGTCCCCAAAAGCCTTGAAGGTACAAATGCCTTACAAAGTGGCTGTGGGTCTGTGAGACCAAACGCTGTGCAGGCAGCCAGCCATGCTGCTCTCCTGCTTCCTCACAGGGATCCCTGCTGGCGGCAGCAGCTCCATCAGACTCAGCACAGCATCACCCTCTGCCAAAGGGGAATGTGAGTGATGGCTGCAACAACCTCATGTGTGTGACCCAGGGCCCCAGCTCCTGCTGCACTGGGTCCGCATTTTGTTTCTTTTCCCCCTCACAGTGTGGTTTGATGAACACAGCCCTCCCAAACAAGATGCAGCTGTGTCCATAGTGTATGAAAACAGGGACAAAACCCATCCCCATAGAATCAGAATGCAGCTGGAAGGGATCCCACGAGGATCACCAAGTCGAGCTCCTGGTTCCACAAAGCAACAGCCAAACCCAATGTCTGCAAGCAGTGTCCCAACGCTGTGTGAGCTCCGGCAGCTCAGTGCCGTGCCTGCTGCCCTGGGCAGGCTGTTCCATGCCCACCACTGGTGCAGAGCCTTTCCCCAACCCCCGGCCCTCCCGTGGCACAGCTCCATGCCGTTCCCTCGGGCCCTGTCGCTGTCACACAGAGCAGAGCTCAGCGCTGCCCTCCATCAGCTCCCCTCGGCTCCTCTGCTCTGTGCCCAGCACACCCAGGACCCCCAGCCGCTCCCGTGCCCCACCAGCACCGCCGCCCTCTCCCCAGCGCACGACACCTCACCCGGGAGAACGGCCCTCAGCAGGACCCAGTTCCCCCCCAGAGCTCATTTCAGCCCCCCAAGCGCCTCCACGTCCCCGAGGCCCCGTCCCAACCCGTGCTGAGGTCGCACCCCGTTCCCAGCCGCCCTGCGGCGCTGAGGTCCCGCTGCGAACGCACGGCGCCGTGCCGGGCACGGTGAGCAAACGTCAGCACGGCGGGAGCCGAAACCCGAGCCCACCCCAACACCCAACCGCTACGATGCGATACGGGGGAGGAAACGGGAGCCCCTGGCACAGCCTCTGCAATTTTCCAGCCCTCGGGTCCAGCGGGCTGCCCCGCTGGCGACACGGCACGCGAATGCGCGCCCTTCAGCCCCGCACAGCAGCCCGAGAAGGGAAGCAGAGGAATCGCTGCGGGCTCCGCCGCCCCACGCCGCTGCTGGCACCTGCCGGGGGAGGGAGGGAGGCGAGGAGGGGCTGTCCCCGAGCCCACCGAGGACACCCCCGCCCCAACCGGGCACCCCAAACCCGCAGCCCCGCAGCCCGCACACTTACGCGCAGCCCCGGGCCATGGCAGGGCTCCCTGCAGCGGCACTACCGCCTCTCGCCGCGGTTCCGGGGCTGGGAGGAACCGGAGAGCCCGCCCCGGCCCGCCCGGCCCTGCCCCCGGCCCGCCCCGCTGCCCCGGCCCGCCCCGAGCTCCGTGCCGGCGGTGCCCGCGGCGCTGAGGCTGCGGCTCGGGGTGGCGGTGCTGCCCGCTGGAGCGGGGCTCCCTGTTCCTCATTCATCAAACACCTTCCTGAATTACCCGCCTTCTTTCATCAGACGTCGCTCGCAGCCCCTCCTCCCTTGTTTAGCCCCGCGCTGGGGGATCTCATCAGCCCTGTGCCTGGATAACTTGGCAAAAGAAAGCGTGCCCGGAGCGAAGGGGTGGATGGCTGCTTCTATTTCTGGAGGTGTCACTATGCCCCGAAAGCTCTTGCGTGCTTCGGTCTGCAGCTTGCGTTAATAGCTCCTGAATATCATAGAACCGTAGAATCCTGTAAAGCCTTGGGTTCCTTGGAAAGGAGCTCAAAGCCCCCCCACCCCCACCCCCTGCCGTGGGCTGGTTGCCCCCACTGCTCAGGCTGCCCAGGGCCCCATCCAACCCAGCCTTGAGCACCTCCAGGGATGGGGCACCCATAACCAAGGTTTGTCCAATTGTAGCCCAAGGTCACAACATTTACTGGTCTCTCCTTTGCAGGGAGTTCCTCATTCTGTAGGAAAGGAGCTGCCAGGGGTGGTTGCCCAAAGTGGTTTTATTGAGAACTCATCTTCACTTTCCACTAAGGTGCAGGTGCGTGGTACATCTCTGAGGTGAACTCGGGGTGGATGGTGTAGCTGCCTCTCTGCACTCCTCCCAGCTTCTTGAAGTGGCTGGAGTCCCACCTAGGAGAGGAGGCATGCGGTGCTACATGGGCAGAACAAAACTCTGCTTCTGGCTGCCGGCGCCGCAGAGACAAGCACTGCCCACACAGCCTCCCATCCTCTATCAGCACCTCTGGGCGCTGAGGCCGAGCAGCGGAGCTGAAGATCCCTGGCATTGCCATCTCAGTGAGGTCTCTCCCTGCCACTCCCACTCCTTGCACTGTCATTTTCCTAAAACCTTAATTTCCAGACCCATGTGAGTCCAAGAAAATGCACCTTATTCTCAGTGGAGAAGACTTTGAGAATCATCTCACCAGGGCTTGGGCGTGCAGACAGCTGTGGAGACTTCAGGGCTCCTTGTTTGTTCTTGTTTGTTTTCAGTTTCTGGTCTCAGAAATTCAAGGCCAATCATTTTCTGCAAGCCTAACTCCTAATTTTGGATCACAGGCAGTTGGTGCAGTAACACAGTGACAACTAAGCTGGAGAACAGCCTCCTCTCTCCCTTGGCTGCTTCCCTGAGCTCTGTTCTAGGGAAAAAACTGCCTCTGCAGTGGAAAGATACCAAAGACAAACACACAGGGATTAAGGACCTGTGTGTTTGTCTTTGGGTGAAGGACATGGCTAATTACTGTGTGAAGGGCAGCATGACTGGGGAACGGCTCCTTGGATGAGAAAATAGGCGATGGCAGAAAGCACAAGAGTTGCACAGGCAGCACTAATGTGGCACCAAAATCTGCTTGGTGCTAAGCCATGTACAGCCAGGTTTAGGGGCACCACCAAGAGTTTGGATGCTGTGCAGTCCCAAGGACCTCAGGATGCAATCAAGCACAGCAACACCTGCCCTTGAGGGATGAAATTTAGTGGCTTCTGTTTCACAGATGGCAATAATGTGCTCCAGCTCAGCACCATAATTGTGCCTGCTCTGCCTGATTGTGGCCTACTTAATCTGTAAGATGGAGGAACTTGTTACTGACTGCATGACCACCATAATGGGATCCACTACCCCTCAGGATCTGCTTTTTGTACCATCGCCCCCAAAACAATCCTCTGAGCAATTTTGCATCAAACCCTAACAGGAAGGGACCTAGCTCTTTGCTGGTGTTAGGTAGAATAATAGCTTTGCACCAGGGCAACCTGCCCTTGGCTGTAATCTGTTCATACCTAGGGCTCATACATGGGTATGATGGCTGGGGGTGATGTGTAGGTGCACAGAACGTCACCATAGGGCTGTAATTGCAACATGGGATGCTCCTGCAAGAGACAAGAGGCAGAGTGAGTGATGGTCCTTAGAGGGCATGTTTTTCCCAACCCACTCAACCCAGCTCATCCCAACCAACTGATCTCATCCTAACCCACCCAATACAACTCATCTCACTTCAACCCAGCTCATTTGAATCCAAGCCATCCCAATCCAAACCGGCACACTCACTGATCCATTCATAGCCTATCCCAGCCCAGATCAACCTTACAGTCCGTTCTGCTAGCGCATGGAGATGCCTCCTGATGGCAGGGTCCCCATCGACATAGTAGTCCATCCCTCGCAGGCAGTAGTGGCGACCAGAGCATGGGCTGTAATAGCCCTGGAAGGGTCTCCTCCCTGACATAGTGTACACAGGCTGCAGGGATGGTGGTGAGAGCCGCGACAGCCTGCGCAGCATGTCACCAACCACCTCCCTCTCTGCAAGCAGAAGGACAGAGAGGGTAGCAAAAAGGAGGAGAAGGCATCTGTTCAACCAGATGGCCACTGGCATGGCACAGGCGCAGCTACAGCTGGAGCTCTGGAGGAGGGCAGTTACCATATTGGTTGAGGCAGGCGGGTTTCGGGGGGTATGGCACAGGTATGCTTTGAAGAAAAGTCTCCATTCTCTTCTCCTGCAAGGAGTGATTGCAGCCTTTGCAGCATTGCCACCATTTTACTGCAGAACCCAGGGCACTGATGGCACCTGAGGTTGCACCAGTTTTGCAGGGTAAAAGGGGCCAGGTCCTACCTTGGGTGGCAGGGGGAGGTAGGTGCTGTACTTGTTCCAGGCTGCACTATTGTAGGGACCTGCTCGCCAGGTGATGTATTTGTCCTCATTGACAAAAACTGGGCAGTATTTCTCTGAAATGAGAAACAGGCAGGACTGGCCTGTGGGGCAGGTGGCTGCTGGTTGGGTCAGGGGTGTGTGACACAGCTGGAACATCCCAGCTGCTCTCTGAGTCTCACAGATACAACACCACGGGTTCAGGGGCACTTCAGAGGTGCTGCTGCTGGGGTCCTTGTTAAGGGCCACCAGGACCTTCAGAGGTGTGGCTGCCACCACCTCCATTCCGCTGATAAGAGACAATGGAGGCAGGGTGAATGGTGTCTCTGAAAATGAAGGAGGACATGTCCATTCCAGCTCAACCCAACTCATCCCAACCCAGCCCTGGTTGGGATGTGTCCTTCAGGCATCATTGACCACCAGTAGATGTTGAGGGGCTACCAGTGGGGTGAGCCCAAGAGACCTCAACATGGGGATGTTGACAGGTGGTTACAGCAAAGCCGCAAGCACAGATGGCAAGTGAGGGCCACTCTGTCACCACTGGGAAATGCAGAACATAAAAGGAGGGGTGGGCAGAGTTGCTGGCAGCTGGCAGCTCCCTGTCTTGTGGCTCTCAGTGATGTGCCCTGTGTGACAGAGGGGGACAGATGGGAACTTGCAGTACCTTCAGGTTTGGTCAGCCAATACTTCTCGGGCCAGTAAGCAGTGGGGTCAATGGCATTCCGGTACAAATACTCCTGCATCACAGCCTTAATCAGCTTCTCAGGCTGACCTTGGTGAGACATGTTTTGCTCCTGGGGCATTGTTAATCCCTAAAGACAGTGGAGAGTGAGGTGAGATACCCAGGTGATGCACCTGCCTTTATCAGCACTGGGGAATGTGGCAAAGCCAATTACTGATTATCAGGCAGGACCTAAAACTGGAGACATGCCCCCAAAACTCACTGAGAGGGTGAATATCTGCATAGAGGGTGTGTGCTAGGGATAGAGAGTGGCTGGGTACCACTACCTCTTCTCCTTTGCATTTGTGGGGTCTGGGACATCCAGGTGCTTTGCAAAGCAGAGGATGGTGTGGGGACAACAGGGCCACTATGTATAAGGCCAGCAGAGGTAGGGAAAGGAGCTGTGGGATAAAGCCCTGCAGCTGGCAGAGACCAAGAGGGCTGGGGTGTGCAGGGATGCCCGGGCTGCAGGAGATGCTTCTGTCCATTCGTAGCTGTGACATCCTTCTCCATGCCCTCTGCTGGCTCTCTAATTATAACACACATATTAATGCTGCAAGAGATAACCCATTTTGTGGTGTGCTTCACATCAGAGCCTGCCTGCTGGCTAGATTGTGTGGGGAGAACTGTATGGCTGTGGACCACAGGGATCCCCCTCACAAGATCGTGTCTCAGGGGTCTGTGCCCCTCCAGGAGCAGGGCTGGGAGATGTTCTGTTCTGCCACACTCAGGACTGGGCAAGCCTCAGGGCTGTGAGCTGGGGCACCCATCTGTCCCCATCACAACCATGTCACCTGGATGCTCTGCCTCATTTTCCCCTTCCCAGTGGGTGCATTCTGAAACCTGCTGATGGCCAGGAATTGTGTGAGAGCTTGTGCTTGTCTGCCCCATAAGTGCACTCCACAGACACACACCACACCCAGGGGACAAGAAATGTGGAAAGTGAAAATGTTGTTTCTGCATTGAATGTTGAAAAGGGAAATTGATCTAAAGAAGTAAGCTGTAGCATATCCTTAGAAATAGCTGATGTGAAAAGTAGAAATCCCATATACATATTAGTAACATATTTTAGAAACATAGATACCGAACTACATAACAAATTCTTTCTCACAAAGCTGCAATAGACTTTAAATGTCCTAAACAATGTAGGTGTAGTATTCTGAACTAGGAAACATATTGTAAGGCTGTTCATTAGGCCAGCAGAAGTGAAATACATTTAACAAGCTTTCAAGGAGTCAGGGCCTTTACACAAAGCAGAACTGTCCCATGCTGCAGGAATGTTAGGATGCCATAGGCAGGCTCCAAGACACTGCCCTCTATCCTCCTTCCAAGCTTATCTCTATGCAAGGACAGATGGATGGCCAGAACAATGACCCAGTGTAAAGGACACAAATGCCAGGGGGTAATTAAACAATTAAGAGGTTATGTTTATGTTGTAAAGCAGGCATCTGAAAGTTATGACCAGATGTTTGTTAAGAAAACAATAGAAGGCAATTAACCAATGAAGATATTTGTGTTTGGGTGGCAAGGATTTGTGTTTACTTGGTATTTGTATGATTAGTGAAGCGCTATGAAAGAGTGTGAACCTGCAGTACGCAGCCAGTGAAAAACCAGGGGAGAAAGAGATAAGCATCAGGCAACAGGGGATAAAAGATAGAACATTGTTTTCTGGGTGCTCTCCTGCTTGCAGGAGGCAATTGTGAATAAAATCTGCTTTATCAGAGATACAATCCTGGAAAATTATTTGGATATTTCCAACAGAAACCACAAGCACAGACATACTGCTGACCAGGGAACACGAGCATTCCCTGATATGGAGAGTGAGGCACCCCATGAGTTCCCCTATGCTACCCCTCACCCAGCCCCCAGCATCCTCAACCAGGTAAGGGAAGAAACCCTGAGGCTATTACCTGGGTCACAAATTTGTTTTCTCTCCATAGCTGCATTGGAGCCTTCTCATAGATGGACTTTTTCATGGAGCATGGTGGCCGGTAAGCATCAGTGTAGGTGCTGACAGGAGTCTTGTGCTTTTGGGCAAAGAGGAACATGGTGCTGCAGCCACAGGGATGCTGGGTCTTGGTGGTTCTTGGGGAGGCTCAGAGGCACTGCACAGGGCTGGAGTCTTCCAGCCCACACGGACCGGTGTGGGAACTTGTGTGGAAAGGGAATGGGGCCCAGGTGGCTCTGTTCTGGAGGCTCCTGGTGGTGTTTATGTCATCGGTGACATCACAGTGTGGGAGAAGGGAGATTTGGATGCATTCTGTCAGTGCTATGGTGTGTTCCAAAGGACACCAAGTCCTGGAGTGGTGCTCAGTAACAGCTCCCTGCAACCCTGCATTCCTCCCACTGTCCCTGCATCCCTCCCACAATGGGCACTGCTGCATTCCCTTGATCCCAGCCTTCCTCCCCTCCCACAAGCAATCAGATTAACAAGGATAAGAAACACTTTCAGCTGGTCCCAGTCAAGGTAATTGTATTTTGGGAGGTGCAGGACCATAGCTTGTAGGCATTTTTGGGTTTCTAGGCCCTCTCTCTCCTCTTTGCCTTGAAAAACCCAGTGCAGCACCACATTGCTCCAGGCACCTCAAAGCACAGCACTGGGCTCCTACCCCATGTGGCTCTGCACCGTGGCTTTGGGGTATGAAGAGGAATTACTGCCTGTTCTGGGGAGCTCTCCATGTTTTAAGTTGTTGGGTTTTTTGTTTTTTTTTTCCATTAAAAAGGGAGATTGAGGTTACCTTGTGTGGTTCATTTGCTATTGCAATGGTGGGCTCTGCAGTGCTGGTGTAGGTGAGTGATCCCCAAGCTCAGTGCAGGCAATGGGGTTACACAAGGGGAGGACTCACAGAAACCACATGCACTTTTTGTCCAAATCAGGATGGTGGGCAGAAGTCCCATACTTGGACACCTGTTTTCCAAGCATCTCTGCACTGCTACAGGTTTTCATCCCTTCTGGCTGACCAGCAATGCCTGAACATCAGCTCTGTCCATCTGTTAGTCCACCCCTGATTTCAGCATCGGGGAAAGCTGGGGCATCTTGGGACACCATCCTGGCTCTGTTTGTATCCTCACACCCTGCTGTCCAGTTCACTCCAATGACAAAGGCTGGCAGGCTGGTTTTTGTATGTATGCTTTTTAATATCATTAATTGTTACACTACACACAACCAGTAACAATGATAAATACTGCCATGGAAATGTTAAAAAAAAAAATATTATATGTTTCGTTGTTTTTTTTTTTTTTCAAAAAAAACCCCCACATTTTTAAATAAATTAATGCATAAAACTGATGATAGAAAAAAAAGAAAAAAGAAAACCCAAAACAAACCACAACACAACCGATCTGTTTAAGGCAATACTCTACGCGGACGAGAACAGAAGTACAACATGTGCTACATGTTCTGAAGAGGAAAAAAAAAGAAAAAAAAGAACACACGAGATGCAGACTGATGCTTCGGGAGTGAAAAACTCCCCAAACCAGATAATAAAACCAATGGCCAAGTTAAGTGCAGCATTAATACACTCCGCATGTCACATGATTAGCAGGTTCCTAACATGGACTAAGGTCAAGCTACAACAAATTTATCTTCCTAATTAAAAGGTTATTCAGGTCAAACCCTACATTTAACTCTACTTTGCATTTGGCTGTTTCAGCTATGTTTCACTATATGCAAGGACAGCTGGAAATTCATCCCCTGTTCTGAGATTAAGGAAAAGGTTGGGAGGTCTCTCCTAAAAGGCATTTCCATTAAATATATCCCAGAAGGATCCCATTTTCAGTGACCCACAAATGCCTCCACTGGGCACCAGGCACTGCGTGGGGGAAGGAGACCTTGGAAGCATTTCCTTGGGGTTTAGTGTCTTTCAAGCTGAGGGCATGAAATGGACTTGATCTGAACACAGAAGAGGGCTGCCTCCCTGCCTGCCAGGTCATTTGGAGCCTGCTGGATGTACAGCCTGCTCTCTGCCAGCACAGGAGAAACTCAGCCATGGATACAGCCATGACATTTGCTGTTGAAGTTGGTGTGAAGCTCCATACCTGCCCAGACAGCCCATCGACCCCAATTATTAATGCAGCCCAGAACTTGGCCACTAGAAGGTGGACAATAATCTAAATGCCAAAAATATCCCCCTCTCCCTCCAAATTTAAAAGAAAAGGGACAGTAGCCACTCCCTGCCAGCTTCCCCTGGTGGATCCCCATCAGCTGTGACGCATGAAGTCAGCAGTGCCAGCTCTCACCAGCACTGACCCATACGTTCCCAGTAAGGTGCATGTCTGCAGGGTGCTGCCAGGGGGCAAAGAAGCTTCCTGGGACATGGTCAGAGCCTCTTGTACTGCCCTGCTGGGGTGCTTGTGGAGGAAGCTATAGTACACGAAGAAAGAAACTCAAGTGGAGTTACTAAAAACTAAGACTTGTGATAGCCAACAGCTGTCTGGACTGCTTTGGGTTTGGGTAGGAGGGGGAGGATGCAGGACGGGGCTGAGAATCATTTTGGTGCAACTGCCTGTGTTGCCCAACACCAGTTCAAGGTGGGGATGGGGGAAAGATGATGGCTGCTTTGAGAAAAGAGTGAAAGGAGGACGTATGCAATATAACAAGGCTTGCAATTCTAGAACTAACCATTGTACATAGATACCAAAGATTACCTGTGACAACTACTTATACTTCTATCACTGCTGCTGCTTTCCTTGCTTCCTTGCCTAACCCTTCTGTAGTTTGGGAAGCTGTAGCTGTTGGTGTGATGGTCAGCTCTGGCTCTCCCTCCATGGCCCCACACAGCACACAAGGGGACTCAGCTGCAGGATGCAGTGAAGTCTGGAAGTCGCATGTTAGACACAGAGCAGCTCTGCATGGAAGTGGCGTCTGCTTTCAGAACCTTCCAGAAAGCTATTTTGTAGTGGTTCATTCCCTTCTTTATTAAACTGAAGGTTCAGTAGCCCCCACAGAAGGATTTTAAATGGTTATTAATGCGCATAAGGGAAGGAAGGGGGATATCTTTCGGGATTTTCTCCCCTGCAAAGACTCTGTCCTCTGCTAGAGCCATTCTCCCTGCAGACCTGCACCCCTACCAGCATTTGCTTCATAGCAGACAAGGGAACCACTGAGAGATGTCCCAGCTGTGCTTCCCATGGATGTCAGGCTCATGCAGGGATTCTGAGTCCCAGACCCTAGCAGAGTGGCTCACACCAAGGCTTTAAAATCACCTGGGTGATACTCAGCCCTACAGTCTTCTGGGCTGCTCAAGAGGGCAAAGGGAAATCCCGGCTGTCTCACTGGCTCTCCCACCATCACACCTACTGCATCTCCCACTGGGCTGCTGTGAGGAGAGCTGGCCCAAGTTTTCCACCTCTCCATGGGTCTGTATCACATCACAGCTTACTGGAGACCTCACCTGGGGCAGGTAAATGGGCAGCTTAGGGAAGGGCAAACACTTCAGCAAGTAACAGGACTTATCTCAGCACAGCCTTTCAGTGGCTCTTCTTTTCCCAGTGCTTACTGCTCTGCTTCCAATGACACATCTGAAAGTAACATTTTAATTAGGCTTCAATTGTACCTTCCACTCCCAGATAAATTCCACTACCCCTCTCATCATTTGTTGCTATGGAAATGGCTGTTTCACAGACTGGGTGCAATCAGAAAGATGTGTTCTTTCCAGAAGCAAATGCATCTTTGGCTGAAGCAGCTTTTCACAGCCTCAGACCCACCACCAGTTTCTGCTGGCAATTTGGTCTGGGAAGCAATGGGAAGAGTTGCTCTCCATGGGTGCCAGGGAAAGCTGCAGTCTGTCCTGATGTGTGTGTGTGTTCTGCTCTGTGCCATGGCATTCTGCATGCTCTGTTCCATGTAACCTCAGTTAGCCCTGGCCCTTGCCTTCCCAGCAAGCTGCCAGAGGAGTGTCCAGCCAGACAGTATCTACCCACTGTGGTCCTGGGATTGCCGCCAGTGTCTGGGATAACAGGAAAGGATATAACTGTAATTTTGGGGAAGCAAGGCAACAATTCAGCTGCACTACACGGGGTGTGAAATCTCAGGTGGCAGCTCCTGTGAGAACCCTGCTCCTGGGTTAGTGTGGCGTTAGCCTTCTGTATGCAATCCCAGGTCAGAACTGACCCTGCTCTGCTAAGCTGATGGCCCTTCTGCTTCAGAGCTGTGTGGCTCTGCAACGGGCAGGTTTGTCTGATGAAGTGCAATTCAAGGTCTGGAGTGATCTCTTGCACAAGAAAGCCTTGACTGGAAATGACAAGGATGTTGTGCCCTCCTAGAGGACATTCTGACCAACGATGAAAATCTACTTTCAAGACATGAGAAGCAGAGAGAGACAAAAGCTGTGAATAGTCAGCTCTGACGGATGCCAGAGGCCAAAACCAGGGTACATTCAGGGTGGCATGTGCAGCCTGTGCTTGCTGAGCCCAGCAGCAGCCAGGTGATAAAGCCTGTTTTGGTATAGGTAGGAGAGGCCATACCCCATGTGCGCTTGAAGGAAGAATGGAAAAAATGGAGAGACCAGACAAATACATCTCATATTGTTACATAAATGCTAAAAATAAAAGCATGAAACTGCCCTGGGAATATCACAAATGAGCATTTCCGTGATCTCTTCCATTCAATTAGAGCTCGCTATCTGAGTGAGCTCACCTGCACTTTGAAATCCCTTAACTCTGTTAGCAGGGGATGGTGCTATTGGGCCACTGAATGTTGCTACACATTCTCTGTGTCAGCATGCACATTTAGTATCCAGCTATGCAAAGGCAGCAGCAAAATAACTGGTAAATATATCTTTGCCATACATCTGTCCCGAAAGCTGCTTAGTCTCTCTACTGAGCTCCACTCTGCAGCACTGATACACAAATACAACCAGAAGCTGGTAAACTGAGGGAAAGAAGAGTTGTTCTTTGTAGAATTATGAAACTATGTGTAAAACTTTAATAGCATGCTTTTTAAATCTTGCTTGCAGAGCTATCGTAACACTGGTGCCCACTGTACACTCAGTAACATCCATGCCAGGTGGTAGTGTCATGAAAGGAAGATTTCTTCCCACTGCTGCTGAAGAGATGTGACTTGCCTGGGGCTAGAGCAAATATCTAACATGTGCCAAAAGCAGCAAGATCTCATTTCTGTGCTCTGATGATCCAGTAGATTCTCTGCAGTAGTATTTGGCTTCAGTGCCAGCTCAGGGACACAGTGTTTTTTGAGTGTGCATCTGAAAGCAAGCTTTGCACCTTGCTGTATCAGCACTCTACTGAGACTGATAAGCTTGGACTACTGGGACCTGTCCTAGGCCAAGGCAGCACTTGGCAGCCTTTCCAGTTATTGCTTGTTTTCCTTCTATCATTCCATCTGGTGCTCAGCTGGGACTCTCCTTCCTTCAAAAGCATCTTCATTTTGCTGCAGAGTCACATGCAGGGCGCTGCACTTTTCAAGCTTCCTGTGCACTGTTGTACATCTTGCAGGCCACCCTGAGGACACACTGCATGGAGAGAGAAGCTTTCTGCTAAGGATTTCAGACCAGTGTGTCAGCCAGCACACAGCTGAGCAGAGCAGCTGCCTCCTTCTGTGAAAGGAGATGGAGAGCCAAACCAGAGCAGCCGAGTCTGTCCTGTCAATGGCTGAGCACAGAATCTAGAAGTCCCTTTTGAAGTCTGTGCTCCAGGCTTGGCCCTCTGCTTCTGCAGATGCAAGGCATCTGCAGGCAACATGGCCACAGGAGAATAGCAGACTGGAGGGCCAAATGTACACCATGGGGGCTGACATGCAGCGACATCAGATTTGATCCAGTGCCTCTTCCAAAGGCTGGCTTCAAGATAAGTCTGGTAAGATCAAAGAAGCCTTTGGGAGGGTCATCTAGACATCAGCCTTCTTCCAGCTAAGGATTATACAGCCACCAGAAAAGCAGACTAGATCCTGCTATCTAAGGACCTTCTTTGACACTGGGAGGATAAACAGACATTTGGAAACGGGGAGTTTGCAGAGAAACAGAGTTGAGCGCTGAGACCTTGCAGTTCAAAGACAGCTCATACTAAAGAGCACAGCTGACATCTAATATGAGGAAAGGATTTGCCTAAACTCTAGTAATTTGGAGACTAAAAGTACTTAAAATCCTAGCAAAAAGCTAGTCTGGCTTTAGGAGGCATCAAATTCCTTTGTTGTAGGTGCCGGCATCACTATAAAGAAGCTTAATTGCTTGCTAATTTAGATGAACAGTAATGCAACCTTTCATACTCAGTGGCATACCTTCCTCTGGTTTTCAGTACATTTTGGACGGAAAATAGGGTCTGAAAAGGCCATCTGGTATGGTGCAAACACTGATGCAAAGAAATGATCCTCTTTCTTGCAAGCAAAATGTAGCTGGGAGAGCACCCAGCATCTTTACAGCTTTTATAGCTTTACAGTGCTGCAGCGAAGAGTCAGGGGCTGTGCTCCTTGCTTTAACCTTCTCAAGGCCATGGCAGCAGATAACCTGCTGGTGTGGTGTAAAAGAGCAGTGGCCACATTCGTGTACTCCTTCCTGGGAATCCACCACAACATAACCTTTAATGAGGGCACAAGGAAAACCTTACTGAAACAAAGGTCTGAACACAAAGGAGACAGGGAGAGCCAACCCAACCCACTGTTAACACATAATGCTGGGCTGGCCATCATGTTCTGTAACAAGCCAACAACCACACCTCAGGGTCGTAAGTGATTAAAGGGCTTCCGTTCAGAAGGGTTAGTGATCAGTTTTCTATGATAGCCACACGTGCAATGCCTTAATTCATTCAGCCTTCCTGATAATGACTCTACACAGGTAACTACTTATCCCCACCATTTCTACTTTAATCCCCTAATAAAATATATGAACACAAAGCATAGAGAGGAGAAGCCAAAAAATTGCCATTTTATGGTCCTGTACTATTATGCCAAAACAGCTATTTGTGCAACCAGATCCTTCTGTGAGCAGGGAAAAACCCTGGACCTGTATTTGGAGGAAGCACTGGCCTAGTTAACATTTAAATTAATGTCTATCCCACATACAAGTGAATATCTCCCTCCAAAGGACTTGAAGGAGTTATGCTGGAAGCAGGTGCCCATCACACAATGTGAAGGGTGGAAGGTGGCTGCAGGAACTGGAAAATGCCTCAGGCCACGCGGCAGGTAGATAAAAGCAGCAACAGGGGCAAAAAAAGGACTTGGTTGAGGTGCCATGGTACAATGGTTACAGAGTTGCAGTCCTGAGAAACTCATCTCAGCATGTCTCCTTCCATCCTTGTGGAAACATGAAGGTGGCGTGACGGTGACCTGTGGGATCTACAGTTTGAAAGGGCTGACCCATGGAAACAGACTTCTCATTGCTTGAGAAGCTCACCAAAATGCTCTGAGCTCCTGAGCAAGGGCTGTAGGAAAGGCTGAGTGCGTGCAGCCTGTCTAGAAGGCACAGACACTGACTCAGGAGGATAAGCACAATGAAGATGTTATATGGTGCTGATGCTGAACTGCAAAATCCTGCTTTGGAAGCATGAGCCTTTAAAGAGATAGGGCCATGTGCTACAGGATTTACTTAGACCACGGGATTTCTTTAAAGTTTTGACCACATTCCGCATCTGAAAAATAGACTCCTTGATATTTTCTCCCAACACAGTGTCGTTAGAGCTCCCCTCATCCTTTCAGACAACTTGCTCATCTCACACAAAAAAAATGAGGAACTGGGGACTGGAAGCTTTGTACTTCTTTAGAAACATTTTTGAAATATTCCCCTTCATCACTGCTATATGATAAGAAATTGAGAGGAGTTCTAACTGAGGAACACTCTCTTCCTAGGGGAGTTGACAAGTTAATCAGCACTTCTGCACTAGGAGGCAGAGATGCTCAGTAAACAAGCTTGCTCAGTCTCTTTCTGTTTGTTGTCAGAGAGGGCCAATAGTCCTGTTTTAGGGAGGGGGAAAACATTTTTCACAGTTGCCTGAGGCCAGCTCCTGAATAAAGCCCAGGAGTCCTGAATGCCTGCTCTTATGCTTATGCTGTGCATGACATCATGACTTGTACTGCACAGAAAAATACCCAGGGTGTTAAGGGGCCTTCTCATCACTAAGAGAGATGAGACTTCTTAAAGAGTCAGATCATGATGTGTAAATCTGAGGCAGGAAATCTGTACTTCTGGGTGGAGATAAGGCTCTTTCTTGTGGCCCAGGGTAATTCTGATAGGAAATTTAAAACTGCCCTAACTTTTTCCCTCCATCAGTCTCTAAAGCAAGTACTGATGTAATGCAGGCAATCTTTCTGGCTGAACAGAAAAGGACACAGTTGTGCTTGTGTCAAAGGTCTCGTGGCATCAGAGAATGTAGCCAGCTCATCCACCATCTATGTCCCATGTCTTCTGAAGCCAGCAGAGTAAAGCTGAGCAGGAGAGGACATGAAATTCCAGAAATCATTTTGTGTTGAAAACAATCTGTTGGTGAGCTAGCAATTCAGTCCAGAAAGGAAATGTAATGCCAGGTTTCGTGACACAATTGGTCCTGATGTGGGACAGCTCTAACAGACAAAGCTTGGTTGACAGGCGGGCAGAGATGCGATAAATAAAGGTTTCCTCTTGTGGCTTTTTTTTTCTTTTCAGCTGAATCTGCTCATTATCCCTCTGTTGCTTAAAACTCCCTTAAAGTCTGGCACCACAAGGTTAACAAATCTCTCCCACAGGCACCAAGAGATGCAGTGTCAAAAGAATATCAACAGCCAAGCTCTGTAAAAATATGCTTTCTTCTGCTAAGTTTTTCGGCAGTGACCTTCAGTTCCTGTTTTAGCAGGTTTCATTTTTTCTTAGTCGAACAAAGTTGGAGACTTTTGGAAGCAAATGGGTCTCACAGGAATTAAGTATAAGTTGAAGTCGGTATAACTGAATTCATGAGTATGGCATTCTCAGTCAAAGACTGAATCCCCTCAGAGCATGGATGGATTGTAGATCAAATGTGATGTGTTTGGAGATAACTTAATGTGGTGCCAAAGGAAGACTGCATTGGATATATGACACAACAGCTTTAGCTAGTACTGACTCACAGTGAAATGCCACCTATTTGCCCTCTTTGCAAGTGAATGAATTGTGTTGTTAGTCCTAGCTAGAGCTGCCATAAGAAAGGATGCCCTGCTCTGCTGCCATTTGTGCCTCTGTTGTGGTACAATTTTGGTTACACAGATCAAATCATGCTTAGTGAATGAACTATGAACTGATCTCAGTTAAAACCCCTTCACACCTCTTGATCTTGCAGGTAGGATTATTTGAAGCCCAACTTTCTGTTCTGGAACTAACACCTTACAAAATATCTCCGGTGCCTACAAAACCCCCAGAATGGTCTCTCGACCATTCTGCATTCACTTTTCAGACCAGTCAGTTGTGTCAGGCATTGCCTGGCACCTTGAGCAACTTGTTTTTTGTTTAACTATAGTTTAAAATAACTTATTGATCAATCATAAAATGAATTTTTGGGTTTCTCCTGGCTCCATGAACACAAAGAGGTGCACGTCCTACCATAGGAGGAAGCAATGGCTGTTAAGTTTTACAGTTATAGTGGAAAGCACTGATCACAGCCTGCCGGCCTCACTACTGGATGTGACAGGCAGTGGAGGAGGTGGCTTGGCAACACATGCAGGTAGGATTGACCGATTTAGGGGGGATTAGGTCAAGGTCCTCGTCATCTGGGATCTCATCTAACCGGTACCCATCCTTTAGCAGCTGGATGTTCAAGTCTTGGTTGATCTGCTACAGACAAAGAGACAAACAGTCAAACACTTGCAACTTATTTCTTCTGATAGGCTGGATGAGGAAGCAGGTCTCTTATTCTGGAATGTATTTCCCATATATAGTATGTTAAATATATATGATATTTCCCATCTATGAAATAGGAAACAAGAATAATTCAACTGTGAACTGGGCAGTCCACCCACTTAGTCTGGGGCATTAAAGCAACTGAAAGGTGGTCAAGCTATTTGGTTCTCTGTAATCTAAGATTCAAGTGCAATCTAGCCAGCACTGAAGGAACAACCCTTCAAGACAGGACCCTCTAATAGTCCAGACAATTTGATATGGCGTCTACTTTTGGACATTTCTCAATGCTTCAGTGGTATTTTTCCCCTAGGAAGGGATATAAGGGGGAAGAGTTTTCAATGACTCATGTGCAGAATGGCTGCTCAGCACCTTGGATATAAAATCAGATCCTACAGAAGCAGCAGCCAGAGGCTGAGCAACTAATTCACTGGAGAGCTTGGGAATATATTTAGAAACAATAGAAGGGATTAACAAGCCCAAACTTCCTGCCTTTTCTCTTTGAGAGGACAAGAGATCATATTTGTAAGTCCTCCCTGGAATTTCTGCTTGCTCCAAGCAAACACCCATTAGGCAATCCTGGCCCCCATAAGGACTGGAAATAGCAGTGCACTCTCAGGTCCTTTATTTGTGTCCTTGGCAAGCAAACAGTTGCTGAGCTGCCATGACAGACAAGTTGATGCTTTTGTACTACATGGGGCAACACTATGGACTTCATAGCAGAAGTGGGAAAAGCTTCAGTGAAACAATGGGTCAAAAGGGCTGATTAGGCAGATCTGTGTCTGTGCCATGCCACTGTGGAGATGGAGCCCGCTAGATCACTGAGAAGAAAGAAGCATGGCACGTGCTTCTGCCAAGGGCCCTTCCAAAGTTTACACCACTAGTAAATTCCTTGTGTAGCCATTTTTGGCTTCAAAAGGCTACTCTAGGCTGTTTCTTGTTGCTCTACTATCAGCATTAGTGGCAAGGATGGTAGGAGAGAGTGTAACTCACCTCAGCTGATGAGTATCCCGAGGAGGAATATCTGGACATGTCAAAGTCATCATCACTGCAAGGAAGGACAAGACAGAGCAAAGAAGGAAACAGTCAGAGAGCCCTGTATTCCCCAGTTAGTCCTCTCTAGTGCTATGACACTGTCCTTTAGGCACAGAAAAATTACATCAAGGGAGTCTGGAGGGCAACTTTCATTTGTGAACCTCTGACATTTCCAAAAAAGTGCTCTTTACTCTTCCCTCTTCCTGTTTGTTTACACACACATAGACCACTTATGAAATCTGTTGTGAAAACCTGCTTGCACTGTAATGCATATCATCTTACTAACACTTTGCATACCTGTCCGTATCCAGGGCTACCAGTGGCTTTTCATCTGGACTCTGATCTAATGACGAATAGCCCTTGTTAGGAACGACGAGCCTGAAAAAATAAAAGGATGTCCATTAACCACGCAGTACAGCTCAGAAACAACAACACATGGTTGTATCAAAGTCATATGACAGGTGAGACTTCCCCATTTCATTGCTTTGCACTGGATGTACCTTGGGAAATTGCTCTTCTCTGGAAGACAGAACTGTTGGGAAACTCTGGGTGTCATTCTGATTAACCTCTTCACCTTGCACTGCTTGCCTTATCAGATTTTTTTTTTTTTTTCCTAGCAATGAGTACATGGCACTTGCAATAAGTAAATGGAGAAGGAGACTAGGGAAAACCAGGGGCATAACACTCCTACTCCTACTCCTACTACTGGAAATCAGGGACATGGTTTTTCTTCCTGAGTCCCTACCCAGTCCTCATAATGCAGCACTTCTAAGGTCTCACTCTTAAATTCAGTAAGTAATCTGATAAACACGAGCCAGTGGGCACAGCACAGGAGTTGAGATGGACTAGCACTTCTTAAATCCCATTATTCTATGATGTCTTTCAGTTAATCGTAAGTGTTACAATGGCTGGTGATGACTTTGCACCTTTAATTGCCTGAGGGAGTCTGTGTAAAGGAATATAGATTTCAAAGTTTCTAAGATAAGGAAAATACATTATTCAATGGTATCCAGTTCACAACAGAGTTCTTTCATCCACAAAACTGCACAAAGACTTGAGATCATATTTAAAATAAGAACCAGACTGAGCAAATGGAGCAAGATACTATGTTTAGCAGGTGTGAACTCAAGAGTGCAATGAAAATCTCTTTGCTCAGTGGGTTAAATCAGATTCTCTCCCAAACAAATGACTAGCCTTTAACAAGGGACTAAGACTTCGGGAATGTCTAAAAATAATAATATGTCTCATTCATGCTTCAACTACTCTATACCAGCTGCAATGTTCTTCTGCTCAGAACAATTCAGGAAGCCATTATGATTTTAACAATCTAAAGACACTGAAGATAGGAAAGAATCAAGGATAGTAAAATATTTCAAATGTTATCACAAAGCAGATGTATATGTTCATGACTGATTGCATTTTCTTACTGTATTCACTGAAACTAAAGTCTAACAAAATTAATTTTAAAACTGATCCAGAATTTCCAACCTGCTGCAAACAGGAAACTGCAGAAAATGGGATCCACATCAAAATTCAATAACCTTTCCCATAGCTCTTAGACAGTCTTTCTACTCCCTGCAAAGTAGGAAGGAATTAAAGAAGCAAAGATGTCTGAAACTAAAACAGAAGCTGTGATCTGTCAGCAGCAGCTTGCCTACACTGATTCCAGAAGAATCACTCACTTCCATACTTGCTCTTCAGTTTTCAAGCTTCTGCTCCATACACAGTCACTGACAGTTGTTACTGTATTGTGAGTGAATGAAGCACCATTGGGGAATCAAAGAGAACAGCCCTCTGTGGTGTTTATTTACTTGATTTAAATAACTCACTACATCTTTTTCTTGAGAAATGTCTTTTTTTTCTTAGTACAACAACTACAGCTTTTCTATAGCAGATTGAAACTGTGATAATGTCTCTGTCTCTGATTTAAGTTTTTTCTTCACATCCCAACTGACCTTACTTTTGCTTTTCAGTGTCCTTGGAACAAAGCTGGGCTGCGGTTATACTTAATTTCATCTGTGGAGATGAGCTTTTGTCTTGGCTTTTGTCCCTTAACATGAAATACATTACAACAACATCTAAGTTTAGCTTATTCTCAGAACAGACTACAGTATCTGTGTAGAAAAGGTGCAGATGATGATGCAAGTTCTGCCCGTGCTTGTAATGATGGTGCCAGCATCACCCAATTTTGCTCACATTTTATTTGATGTTAAGAAAGCTGACAATGCTATGGATCCAATCCTTTCACCTCTAAAGCTGGATGTCCCCACAACTCAGGAGAAAACTGAATGGCAAAGGCAGCCTGGTACATGAGGCTGGATTTCAGAAATTCATACAGGTTATACTGAAGAATAAAAGCATTAGAGAAAGAGAAGGAAGTGACGCAGGGACAAGGAGAGGCAACACACTTCATCTGAATGAAGGAAAACATTTGACAAGGAGAAGAGCAGGACTGTTAAAAAGGGGGAAATAGCTTTAGCTTTTCCTCATCCTGCAGAGACTGGAGGAAGCCAACTTCAAACTTAAAGAACTATAACCTAGATGTTTTGCAGAATATCCCACTGGAGTCTCTCACACTGTACTGAAGCCTTGTGATCAAGTTTGTGGCACTTCTGCCTTCCTGGCAGCCCTGTATATGATAGGACAGAGCAAACCATTCTGAGGTATTATGAGGGCTGTGCCAATGTGCTCTTTGTTCCCAGAAAGCTAAAGGAACTGGGGTATGAGGAACCATGGGCCATCCAGAACCTAAGCCAGACACCTCTCAGTTGTATAGGAACAATGGAGCTTGGCTACATTTGCTCCTAAACTAAAGGCTTCAAACTTTTATTTTGCAGATCCTAAGAATGCTTCTAAAAGCTGCGTGAAAAGTAACTAAGAAATGCAAGTCTACTGATAGCAGGCTTAGTTTGGCTGTGTAGGGGATTGCATACACTCTGATCAGTGCTCAGATCTTCACAGATGTAATAAAGCTGACCTGGCTGTTCTAAAGCTTTTGTCAGTGGGTGTTACTGTTTAACCCTTTCACACCAAATCACTCCTCCTTCTCCTGGCAACTCTAAAGCAGCAGCCTCTCCAGTGAGAAGTCACTCATTTTACAGGTAGGCATCAGCACTAGTTCCATGTTCTCTACCTTATTATCTTCCCCTACTAATTTCAGTGTTTCTAAATCTCTTGAGCAGCAAATCTGCCACAATTGCTCTTGAGAAGCTATCATGCAGCCTACTGCCAAAAGAATCCAAGTCTTCCCTGACTGCATTTGGAAACCAATGAGGAGCAGTAGGCACGGAAAACCCATCTCAGAGCACTTGCTAAAATTCTTACTGCTACTAAGAACCTAACTCCTTCATGCGGTCTCAAAAACCAAATGCAGAGCAGTGAGCAATGCAGTATCTTTCACCAGTGTCGCAGGGGCTTACAGATAAAACTTGACAAGGTCTTGGCATGATTTATGACTACAGCTGTGGGTTTTGGGAACTAATTTGAAACTGATCTGTTGGATGTGCTGCATAGAGAGAGGCTCTGACCTGCCAGTCCTGTTCTACTTAGTATGTAGTAATTCATGACACCTTCTCATTCATCATTAAAAATGCAGCTTTCATGTTGTATTCGTTCAGCTGAGATAGAGTTGATTTTCTTCACACTATATGGTATGATGCTATGTGTGGGATGTAGGAGAAAAATAATGTTAATTACACACTGACGTTTTTGTAGTTGCTGAACAGTGCTGGACAGAGCCACAGACATTTCAGCTTCTCAGCTTCTCATACTGACCGGCCAGTGAGGGGGGCTGTAGCACAAGGAGCTGGAAAGGGACAGAACTAGGACAAAGGGATATTCCATACCACATTACATTATGCAAAAAAACCAAAACCAAACAACCATAAAACTGATGGCAGTTGGCCAAGGAAGCTTCCACTGCCTGGAGACTGTCTGGGCATCAATCAGTGAGTGGTGAGCAATTGGTTTGTGCATCACTTCTTCTCTATAAGTATGCATATATATATGTTATTACCATTCCTGTTATTTCTTTCTTCCTTTTCTGTCTTAGTCAATAGTGTTTATTCCAGCCTTTTTCCAATTCTCTCCCTCATCCCACTAGGAGGGGGGTGAGCAAGCAAATGGCTGTGCAGTGTTCAGCTGCTTGCTGGGTTAAACCAGAACATGTGTAGATTCTGCTGTCATTTTAAGCGTGATCCTTCACTTAAAATTACCACCTTTCTCGTAGCATGCAAAATGTGCAATTCTGTTGACTCAGTGTGGTTCCTGCCCCCTGAATGCAGATAAGTGATACATTATTGTAGTGAAGCCTGCATGGAAAAAACAGAAATACACTAAAATAATGTATTCATCTAAAAACTTTTTTACAGTGGATTGTAGCATAATGTCACACAGAGATGAGCCAAAGTAGCTCCAGCTATGACCATGCTGTTCAAAGTGTGCAGGAGCTGTACAGCAAAGCACAGAGATGGGTTCTACACAAGTCCTCATTAAGTTAATCAGTATGAGGAAGGGGTCATTTTCAAAAAGAAGGAGAATTACTGGGATAAAAGCAGCCAAGTCAGAACTAAGCTTTAAAACAGTTTGCTGTTATGTGAAGCAGAAATGTAGAGTTTCCTGCTGGTATGATTATTTATTATGCAGGGTTGCCCAGAGCATTGAAGACATATAAAAAAACCCTGATTTTTACCAGGCTAGACTCACTGCTGTCTGCAGGCTCTATTATCACTGCTCCTGGGCCCAGTGATAATTATCTGTGCCTGCATCTTCCCATGGGACAAAATGCAACATAGGACAGAGCATTTTGAAAGGGCCATCACTGCTCCTGCAGTCTGTTTGGCAATGGGGGAATGACATTGAACACTGTCCTTGCCCATCTTAAGGTCATTAGGAATTAAAGCTTAGAGCACAGATGAGTTTTCCAGTTCTTACCTTGTCCGTGCCATCACATTGTTCTTCTTGGGCTGCTGATTAACTGGGCTTCCCATGTTGCCATTCTTCAGAGAGCCCTTCCGAGCCAGCTCCCTCTGCTTCTCTGCATGTGGGACAGACAGGAGAGAAGCAAAATTAGGGCAACACCCAGGGTGATCTCCATACAGCTACAGAAATCCAAATTTGATAGTAGCAAAAAGCAAGGTGGAATTAATAGCACAGGACATGAGCACTCCATCTCCCAAGCAGTGATACTGTGAAGGTTGGACAAGCTGTGTTCCAAGCTCGCTAGGGGCTAATGGTAGTATGCCCGGACACATATCAACTTGCTGGCAATGCCACGCTAAGATGGTCATGGAGCTTCAGGATGAGATCCAGAACAAATCTTGCCTTTCTGCAGCTATGGACTCTTGAAACAGTACTGTGGGCTAGGCAAGGAATTTTCCTTTTCTCCTCTATAGACTGCTGCTGAGGGACCCAGCTGGGTCAGAAAAGTGCCTCCATCAATCCAGAACCATCTTCTTTTTAATTCTAGTCCAGTCTGGCTTGGCAGCAGAGTTATTACTTCCCAGGAAGGCAACTCAACAGAATAACATCCCACAGAAGAAATGTTGCTGCCTTCTCTGCTTCTCCTCATAAGTGCCCGTGTTGTCCCCCGTGTGTCCTCTTTTATCTCACACTGAATCTTGAAGCTTTATTTAAGGAAAAAAAAAGTGAAAGCTTCTTCAGCTTTTTTAAACAGCATATTTTTTGCTTAATTTTCAGAGCATGTTCTGTTTGCTGCTGAAATGTACCTTAAGTCTCTTATAGAGCATGAAACTTTCTTTGTGCATTCATTGCAAGAGAGGATTAAACAGTTTCTCATATAGGAGAAACTATTTCCCTTCTTAATAACTTCTCACCAAAGGATCATAACTAGAGTTCAGGTGCAAAAGCTAAGCCTTTGCAGGAAGGTAGTGTTTGTGCTATATAAATATGTTGCTGCCACCAGGATAGGAGGGAAGGAAGCTCATTTGTGATGGGTTGTCATATAAATCCATATTAAAATTTCTGATTCAAAGTCCTTCCTTGCTTCTTTTGGCAAGTTGGGTTGAGCCAGCAATTAGCCACAAAACTGAGCTTATTGCCCCAGACTCATCCTGCAGTGCCAGGCAAAGCTTGTATAGAAACGAAGACTGTGGGACCAACAAGGCAGGACCTGCCTAAAAATGTTCTCCAGAGTGTGAGAAAATGTTGGAAACTACTTTTGTGTCATGCCTGAATAATAGGGGTTTATCAGACTGCTGGCTGGGGAACCTGAATAGTGAATTCGTCTTGCTTCTGCTTCCCCTGTGGTGTGTGAAATGTATTGATATACTTTTTTCTCTTGCAGATTTTATTCCCCTTGGAGAGGAAAGCACCTGCTACTTGTTGTGGGAAAGCTCTTTGCCATTAGGGTGTGCAGTGCATGGTGGCACAACTCCACTCTATCCATGAGGAAGGAGCAGGGAGACAGGTGTACAAGGCTGCCTTTTTTGAGGGACAAGCAAGAAGAGATGCCTCTAAACTGTGGTAATGAGCACAGCTGAGGAAGTTGTAGAGAAGAGTACATACCCACACACACCATATCCAGCCCTGCTCCTGCTGACATCAGAGGTGAATAAAAGCTCACTGAAGTTGGCAGGGGAAGGACCAGACCAATAACTCTCTCTGGCATGAGCAACAAAGAGATTGATACAGGATAGAAGGCAAAACCTTAAATCACAGTAATTTCTCATGACTGGAACTTGCAAATGCACTGGTTGTCATTGTCTCCAGAAAAAAAGGCTGACATTTTGCAGGCCATGTGAATGTTGCTATTCAGACACAGAGGGATAAAGCATGGTTTTATCGAAGCAGAGGTTTACAACCTTAAATACAAAACAACTTCCCCCCATTTACATCAGAAACTGCAGTGCTGACCACAAATCCGCAGTGCTGAGACAAGTTGCCAATACTTTAAGGTGCTGTGTAATTCACAAAAAGCACCTGACTCACAAAGAAGATTTCATTCTGTCAAGATAGTTAAGGCCTGACTGAGCCTTTTAAATGTACTGGCACTCTCTGATTTCTATTGATTATTCCATACAAGCACTAATGCTCTTTTCCAATTCAGATTGCTCATTCGGTTGATGAATCTGGACTTCAGTTAAGTGTCTTCTTCCTCCTGTAAGTCTCGCCATGGCTACTTCTATGCTCTTACTGAGTGTTAATTCAATGTGTGGGTCTGATTGATAATAAATTTCCTATTTAATCCCTTTTCTCACCCACTTATTAGCCTGGAGTGAACATTCTCAAAGAAATAGCACTGCAGGACAAAATGTGCCACTGTCACATTCACACCCAGACACATTTCTAACCATGAACTGACATTTCAGTCCCCTCTTGGATGCTGTGAAACCTGAGTGGCCAAGAACCAAGAGACGGCAGGGAGAACGGGAGGTCTGTCCAGCCCAGGGGTGATAGGACAAGCTTCTGGAAGATGATGGAGATGCATGAGTCTCTTTAGACTTTGAGCCTTACAAGTATTATGAACCATTATCCAAAGAAGTGGTTTTGGTGCCAATGTCCTGAAAAAATTCTGGGTAATGCTGAACATCAACCACCAGGTCCATCAGGATGGTGGGTTTTCAGTGCCTATTGTCTGTCTGGTGTTTCTTCCTGGCCTAGCAGGTAAAGCTGATGAACCCAGTTTATAGATAGTGAACTCTTTTCCAAGTTTTCCAGCTCATTTGGTTTTGGCTCCCATATGTTTGTTTGAGGGCATTGGCTCCAAATGCTACATGTCAAAATTCCTGTTAGAAAAACAGTTGACACAGCCAGTTCTGACAACATTACTTTCTGGGTCCAAAATGTTAAGGTATAAATTCACAATAGCAAGAAAATAGTACACAGGAGAACAAATGAAGGAATGGAAGACTCTGATTTCCAGACACCAGCTATTTCATGCCTGCTGAGTTTACTGTTGGATGATCAGCAAAAAGCTAATACAGCAGAGATACAGCAGAGGTGAGTGACAGACTTGGAGACTGGGAAACCAGAATGTAACAAGGCTGCTTCCCAGCTATTTCAGATAAATCACTAACTGTTGGCGGTAAAAGGCAGTGTAATAGCAGGGCTCCAACAATGCTTTTACCATTTGCAAGTATTTGAAATGGGTTGTTAAGCCTTCATTTCATTTGGCTGTTTTTATTTTTTTACCATTGTATCTAGTTAAATATTCACACCCACGTGTTTTGCCATATCCCTCCTACTAAGTGGTTGGTTGTAGGTGACTGTGCACACTGTGAGTAAATGTGACAGCTTGAAGATCCAGCAGGCAAGCAGTCCCAGCAGGGCTAGTATAGCTGAGAGTGAGACAGCTTTATCCAAATCCAAGTCTCTGTTTTCCCGACAGGTACTTTCTGTGCAGGGAAGAGCAGAAGAGGCTGGGAGGGTAAAAAGTAGCCTGCACTGCCTTTGACATTAAAAAGCATGCTGAATTAAGAGCCCACAGGTTCTGTCTGATCATGAGCAGCATTGCTGTGTTGGGTATTCTACCTGGTTCTGGGCTTGAATGGAGCCAAACTTCTGTTTCAGTGGAGAGTTTGTAGAACACAGCTGATGCACTAGACAATGTGGCTGCACCACTTCCACCTAAGCTAATCCTGTAGATTGTGCTGGAAGAACTTCTGGAGTGATGTGTACATGCAAGGGTGTGAAAGGTGGGGACAGGTCCAGGATTCTTCTGACACTGTCACTGCTCTGAACAGCAGAGGGACTGTCTTTTATCCGGACCTGCCAACCACATCTCACTTTCTTGAGCATGGTGTCATTCCTCTTTAAGACACTTTGTCCCCTGCTGACATGAAAATCATTTAACAAAACAGGGTAGATCTGCTCAATGACCAAGCTGTGCCTTTGTGCTAGCCTCACATCACCCTGCTCTGCCTCCTGACCCCTCTGAGCCATGCAGCATCTGCTCCACAGCTGCTTCAAGGTAAGCTCTGCTGGACCAGGCTGCAAAGAACAATTACAAGCAATGCTGTATTACTAACTGCAATTTAAAACTGTTACCTGCTCAGCTGACTGTATGTGTCTAGCTTCTTTGTGACAAGGGAAGATGGCAATGGGTACAGGAAGCATGCTCATGTGAAACTTCAGACTTGAGTAAATCCTTACAGTCATTCCTCCGGTTTTAGACTTCAGACGAAACCAAAACTAGTTCTAATTATATCTTCCTGCTGTTGTTTGTTTTTAAATGAAATGCTGAACAGCTTCTTTGGTACATGTTGCCATGTGTGGTATGGGTTTGTCACTCTGTCCTAACCAGAAGAGGTAAGAATAGCATGTATTCTGGTCTACAAAAGGAGAACTACTGCTTTTGTAGCATTGGGCAAAGCAGACAGACCAGGAATCAGCTTGTGCTATTCTGAAG